AAGTCCAGAACGTGAAAACTTTATCTGAACCTTTTCACTTTGCAAAGCGTGGCTTCAGAGCCCGCGAGCGCCCAGCCGTCCCCCAGCGCTCTGCAGGGGTGAGCGGAGCCTGTCCTCTGCCTCCAGGCACCGCAGCCAGGGGCCTGTTCCCGGTCATGGCATCGCTGCCTGCACGCTCACCGCAGGCTTGGCTTCGTCTCCGCGCTGACGCTGGACTCGGCATCACTGCCACTCTCTGGGCTGCCTGGGAAAAGCAGAGCCCCGGCAGCGTGCATCGCCTGGCTCCGGCGGGTGATGCAGCCCCTCGCTCCTGCTGTCACCCCTCATCCCTGCCATCACCCCTCGCTCCTGCCATCACCCCTTGTCCCTGCCATCACCCCTCACTCCTGCTGTCACCCCTCGTCCCTGCCATTACCCCTCACTCCTGCCGTCACCCCTCCCTCCCGCCATAACCCTGCCGTCACCCCTCACTCCTGCCATCACCCCTTGTCCCTGCCGTCACCCCTTGCTCCTGCCATCACCCCCCATCCCTGCCATCACGCCTCGCTCCTGCCGTCACCCCTTGCTCCTGCCGTCACCCCTCGTCCCTGCGGGGCTGCCGTGTGGGAGCACGGAGCTTAGACCACGATGAGCCTCTCGCGTATGGCCTTGTCATCAACCTGCCGCACAAACAGCCTGGGAAACACCCAAACACTTCCCCAGCTCCAGGGAGGAAGGCAACAACCATTTTGTTACTATTTTTTTAAAACGTAGGCAAAGCAAGCCTAAGCAAGAAAGCAGCTGATGCCTGCGTGCGCATCCTTCCGCCGGGCTACGACGTGTCTGTCACCGGGTGAGAAACCCCGCTCTGCCCCCGCTGGCCCGAGCGCGGGGAGCCTCTCTGAAGCCACATTACACACACAGACTTTCCCATCTAATATTCATAGAATCACAGAGTATCTCAAGTTGGAAGGGACCCACGAAGATCATCGAGTCCAACTCCCTGCTCCTCGCAGGACTACCTGAAACTAAACCGTATGGCTAAGAGCG